CTACAACTCAGCACACAAGTTGACTGTACAGAAAAAGTATACAGATTCTGCAAGGTGCCTCGTCCTCTTTTTTCCAGAGCGATGAGAAAAGCAACATTTTTATAACATGATAGGTTAAATTGGGTTTCTAGATAGTGGTGAAAGTTTTAATCCTGTTTTAGAGAAACGAGGCCTTCCTTCCCTTTTGTGGGGAAACCCCTTTATGACAGTTTTCTGCTATTTAGTCAGAGACCTGAGCTTGTGAAGTGAGTTTGTTGCATAACAATTCAAAACATGCCTGGGTGGGTGGCCTGTTGGTGGATGCTGGTCATCTTAGTGTGGTTTATTTGAGGATGAAGATCAGGAACTGGCCTTTATGGAATAATTTTATTTAAAAATAATGGCTGCTTTTCTTCAAGACCTATAGGAAGGACTGTAAGTTTGGGGTGGTGGTAGGCAGATTGCTAGCATTAAACCAATACAAGTATCAAGCTCGGTGGGCTAATTGGGGAATGATTAATTTTTAAACTTCCCGTCTTGAAGGAAATTTCTGGGTCAATTTTCTAAACTGTCGTTAGATCCATGGGGCATAAACTGTTCTTACACTAGCACACCATTAAGGTTGTTTTTGAAAGAACCCAAACTTGCCGTTTTGGACTGGCTCAACTTCTGCAAATCAGTGTGTGGTGCTTGTCAGGAGGACCAAGAGATGGCCCCTGGAGGCCAGTTTTCTTTGCTGTGATCCAGCCTCAGAAGACTAGGGAGTTCTTTAGCCTACAATGGCTAAAAATGATCATGGAGGCACCCCTACTAGATATCACACATTTTGTACATAGTACCTCTAACCTTCACAACAGCTGTCAGGTGAGTGATAATATACCTGTTTTTGATGAAAAGTCAAGGCTCAGAGAGGTAAAGTGACTGTTTCCAGGCTTCACGATGTTCCAGAGCTAGGGTTTGAGTCTGGCTTCTTGGACTTCTGAGCCTGAGCCCTTTCGTCTAGGCTACAGTGCCTCTTACATATGACTGCTCTGGAATTTCTTCTACTAGAGTAAGACTATGACACAAGGACTCAGAGAGGAATCTTCCCAGTATGTAAACCCTTCGCTGATTTGTGCTTAATTAATGCCTTTATTATAAATGTTCTTTAAAACCGTTCACTGGTTCCCTATGACCTGCAGGACAAACCCAAGTTCCTCGGCCCCTGCTTGCCCCTCACCATCGTCCCTTGCCCCCCGTCCTCCATACTTGAGCCGGAAGGGACTACCTGACGACTCCCAGAGAGCCCTGACCCATGAACCCCTCCTGGCTTTCCCTGCGAGGCTCCTTCTGGTGGCCTCCTGGCATTCCCCTCCTTCTCCTGAGCAACTCCTTGCCTTCCAGTTCTCAGCAATCAGTTCAAGCCTCATTTAGTCTATGAAGACTTTCATGGTTTTCCCCCAGACACATCTGTCCATCTGTCTATCCACCCATCTATCCATTTGTCTGTACATGTGTCCATCCACTTGATGTGAGAATGTAAGTTCTTTCCACCAGAATGTTAGGGCAGAAGTTTTATCTGTATTCTTCACTGCCGTATCCCTGGCACTCAGAATGGTGCCTGGCATATAGGAGTTGCTCGGTAAACATTGATTGAAAGAGTTTGTTGGATGACTCTTTACTGCATGTCTGCATACGCAGGCCATGACCACTTCCTTGTCCCCTCATACTCTGTTTTCTTTAAATAGCGATTATAACCTCTTACTCTGTTCATTCATTTTCATGCCTGTAACCAACTAAATCATCGTCTCCTCGAGAACCTAAACTATGTCTTACTCATCCTGGCATCTCTAGATCTAGCCAAGAATCTGGCAGAAAGTCCTATTTGATAAAAGAAGCCTGCTAAAAAGGCATGGAGTTAAAAAACTGAAGTCGAAATCCCAGTTTTGCCATGATTTACTCTCGGTTTCTTAATATGTAAAACGAATAAGACAATTCCCACCCTCCAGAGTTATTGAGTATAAAATGAGATGGGTGCATGAAAGGGCGCATGGATAGGACTCCTAATTAACTGAGCCTCCTGAATGACTGAATGAGAGTCATCCAGCAGACTGCTGTTGTCATCGCTGAGTATTTCCTAGTGAAATGTGGATGAGCGTGGCATCTGGATACCAGGATCAGTTGTCTACTTTAGGTTTCTTCCTTTCTTGCATGAGTACTTCCGCGAGCCTGATATCCTGATATTGACAATGAATGACAGTGTTTCGAGGAGCATATCATTGTCCCAGCCCATATCCGGGTTCCCTCTCTAGCCTTCTGTGCTTAGATGGAGCCCCATTCTTGGCTGAAGAACTTCCTATGATACCTGCACTGGAATACAACTTCCCATCCTCACTGAGAGTTAACTTTCCGCAGAGTCTGAGTGTGTTTCAGGGAGCTGGGTCTGGAGAGTTCCAGAATGGCTTTGATCAACTCCTGCCCCTTAGCAGGACAGAGTACGTGTGGCTGAGTACCTTCCTAACCTTACATCCTGGGACATCATCTGCCAAGAGCATACGATGTGTCTGTATATTGAGGGTTCGGACCAAGTGGACAGCCACGGAGGGCCAGGTCCCTAACCAGTGAGTTCTTGTGGATTCTGATCTGTGGGCGCTTCGTCGCCGCATACCACCATGGATTAATCCTAGCACACATTCCACTGGGACTCCCCTGCTCTAGATCCCACAATAACTTCCTTATTTCACTTGAGCGGGAGGCGGGGACTCCTTACATTTAGCACCTTTTGTAACCTAATTCCACCTCCTCTAATCAGTCTGTCCTCCCATTACTTATTTCCCACACGTATTGAGTTTGGGTCAGCCGGCGTCTTCGTTGTGTCCCGCC